GGAATAAAATACCCTTACTCAACCTGATGTTCTCTAGTTTTATTAGTATTACAATTATCAGACTGAATTGTGCCAGAATTATCAGACTGGATGGCCAAGGGGAATTCTTCAAGTTCTAAACCCAACATGGAGAGAAGCGAAGCCTAGACGATGATGGCTATTATACCTCATCATTTCCCATGCTACTTGAGACCTTCAGTCTAACATAATATGTAGTCTAACAAGGGAACACTTTTCCACCCTTGATCTAAAGGTTGGTTGTGTACATTGTTAGATTTAGAAATTCCTTCAGTTTACTTAAAATAGCTATGGAGAATGCAAAATGGATCAAGTTAGCAGCACTGGGAAAGAGAGTAATCCTCTCACCATAAAAGAATAGGAATGTCCTGATTTCATTGCAATCCTCTAATTAGGATCACAGATCTCACCTGAGTTAGAGGAATCTTCCCCATTCTAATGCTCTGCAGGTGTTTTGGGAGGAAAACTCAGAGAATCCTCCATGGCCAATGGCTATACTACCTTGGTTATTTTACAAATTGTAGTTCCTAATCTTTTGGAGAGTTGGTGAGCTATATTGGTGCTTAAGCTATGGCTACTAGAAACATATTTTTTTCTGCTTAAACCTGCTCCCTTTTCTTCCAGAAGGTGATTTCCCCCTACCCATTTTCTTCAAATTCATTGTTTTCTGGAAGTTTAGTCTGCTAAAAATTGGACACCAGAGAGCTGGGGTTGCAGGTTGCATAGAAATGATTTGAGGGAGCACATCTGGATCCCAGTTCAAAGATAGTATGTCTCAAATATACAGGGAAGGACATCTTTTCTTGTGGCTTGAGGGCTGCACATTTTTCTCTAATATGTTTCAGCAGCCAGACTTTGCCTAGACATAGCATTGATATTACCATATCTTCAAAATATTGTTCATACTTTCCCTGTTTTCAGACGTTTTGGTAAAATATGCATGTAAAGCCTATTACAAGCATAACACATTTGTTTTACTTTTTATTCTCCTCTCCCAAGTGTTCCTTTGATGCTTTCTCTTATTCTTAAGAAGCATTTTGGGCATTTTTGCTACTCTTTAACAGTAGCAATAGTGTCTTCAAAGGAGCTGTGATTGTCTGGCAGCTTTTGGATTCCCCTGGACATCATCACCTAGAGACTTGTTCTCTTCCTCTAGGATAAACTGAGTTAATTTGCACAGCAGGGACCATGGCCTTTGATATAAAATAAATGCAAAGTTAGGATGATGTCTTTTCTAGAGACAGTGTTCAGTTAGGTTTCACTTTAATTACTCCTTTTATTTTGCCAGTCCTGAGCCAAATCTAGAGATCAAGGTAAGATTCCATAGAGAACCTGGCACGGATGCTAAGAGAAGGACAAAATCTGCTCACTGAATATCAGATTCCTGTAAAGGTAATTCGATTTTCTCCACACTTATTGAGAGAACCAGAAGAAATGTGTGGTATATTTCCAGACAACACTTTCTCATACCACTGTTTTTCTCCATTTTTCTTCTTCAACATGACAGAGAACACTATGTTGCAGCACTGAGTCTTCCTGTTTGTGATTCTAGCCAGCCATGCCTTCTGTCAGAGTGATCTGTTCCATTTAATTCCATTCATACCATTAAATGAAACTTTATTGAGGACTCTTTTCTGTCTTCCAGAAATTAGGTTTTTAATTTTTTAAAAAGGTGCATTTTTATTATCATTTTACAAAATTGTTGAACTAGCCTTGACTGGTCTCTTTTGATAAAAGAAAGCTGGCATTGAAGTATAGAAGAGACACTTGGAGAATAGGTGAGCTATTGATATATAGCAACGGTTGATAGGTTGGTCCTCTGGCTGGAAATTCTGGGAACTACAATTCCAACCTATCTGGAGGAGCCTGAGTTATAGGGAGCTGTTATAATAGGTGATGGCTCTTCAAAAAATATTAATCAAGAGTTATACTGTTATGAAGTTCTAGATTAAATTCTGATTGAACATTTTTTGAAGGCTAACTTCTAATTTTTCTGAGATACACTGTGCAATGCATTCATTCTGAAGTTGCATGCAGAAGGCCTAGGGTAAATGTACCTATTCTTCTCCCCCCAACACACAAACACCCCACTCAGAGGGAGAAGCTTCGTGCTGCTTAGAAGCAGTGTTTATGTAATGAGCTTACTGCTGACAAATTTAGGACTTGGTATATAAAATATGAGAAGGTCTGCAGACATCTCTTCATAGTTTTGCCGAGTTGTTGAACTACTGAGTACTGCACATCCCAAGAATAAAGCCCCACAGTTTTCTTTGCTGAATTTTGCGTACACAGAAAGAAAGTAAAAAGCATGCATAATATATATGAGAGACAGAATTTAATTCCTAACATTTAAGTCAGTTTACTTAACAAAAGAAAAAAGTAGGAAACTAAATATTACATTAGTATATGCATTCCAAATTCTAAACAGTATGAAGTACCATACTTGGAATACGCTCCTACATGAACAAGCAAAAGTGAAAACACAAGCAGAACAGTTATTATATGAAATAATCCACCATGGGATGTTTATTTGCAGAGTAAGATTGGGGTGAAAACATAAGCACAATGTTGGAGCTGAAAACAACTGGTGGGAAGGAGAGTATGTTTTCATCTTTTCTGGTGCTGATAATTCACCAAAGTGGTGCTCCCTCAATTGCTAGAACAACTCCCTGAATATCCAGCCAGCATTGCTCAAATGTTTTCTGGAGGGAAGCTGTGTTCCTAAAGTGGATTGTGGGAATTGTAGATTATAATTTTCTGGGGTTCAGTGGCTACAAAATCGAACTATTGAGTTTAATTTATACTTTTTAATGTGAAACAAACCAAATTGCTTCTCAGACTTTCACCTCTGTGTGTAACATAACATGCAAGACAATGCTGTGAAATGGAGCCAGCAAGTTCTAATTTTGCATTTCTATTGCAAATGAGCTCATGTTTTCCTTATTTAAAACAGGGAGAAAGGAAGGAGCCACAGCCTCAATTCATCTGTGAACATGATATCTGTGGAAACTTAAGTCAGGATTCAAATAGGTATGCATGATATTTCCCAAATGGGATGGGAACTTTTCTAAACAAGTAAGCACTCTCTTGCTGAGCTAAGTGATAACATCTAGCCAATCTTGGCTGATCTGAAAAAACTAAGCAGAGTCACTTCAAGTTGGACTTCAGATGGGAGGCTTTGAGTGACAAATCAGTAAAAAACAAATAGAACTAACTTCCTCTGAATCTCACTTCCTAATGTTGGTTAATGCAGAAAAAAATGAATGGATTGCCAAAGACTTTTGTTCATTTTCAGAATGAAGGTTATTTAATGGAACACTTGACTTAACTTGCACTAAATTCAGTGAGACGTTCCCCAAATAAACAAAAATGAAAACCTGACAAATCTCTATTTTCTAAGCACAATATCTGAATGTTTCCCTGATCTCATTATACTCACCTGTTTGTTCTCAAATGACTTTTTCTCAGGCCCTCATATGTTGTGTTGCTGTGGTTTGTAACTATGGAATTGTTAACAGAAAAACTACTTTCATTCATCTTTATGTATTTCATGCTTATGAACTACTGTATAATTATGATCATTGCTTATAAGATAAAAGAATAAGAACTGCATAAGTAATTTCTGAGCATCTCAATTAAATTAGGTAGCATATTTGCAGGCATGGCAGAAACAGAGTCAGAGAACCTAACAGATATCACGGCATTCCAGTTGCTGGGATTTGTAGGGCTTGGAGATCTGCAGATTCCTCTCTTCTGCCTCTTCTTAGTTATCTACATTGTTACTATGGTTGGGAACATCCTCATCATTTTTCTAGTCATTACTGATCGCCACCTTCACACCCCTATGTATTTCTTCTTGGGAAATCTGTCTTGCCTGGAGACCTGCTACAGTTCTAACATCCTTCCAATGATGCTGGCTAATCTCTTCTATGGTAGGAAGAGATCCATTTCTGTAACTGGCTGCATGCTGCAATATTACTTTTTTGCTATTTTGGGAGTTGCTGAATGTTGCCTCCTAGGGGCAATGTCCTATGATAGGTATGTAGCAATTTGTAAGCCACTGCATTACACAACACTAATGAATGGCAGAATTTGCCTCCAGTTTATAGTTGGATCATGGATCAATGGTGTATTTGTTATGAGCATAGTTTTATATCTAATGCGTCAGTTAAAGTTCTGTGGCCCCAATGAAATCAATCATTTCTTTTGTGAATTGAATCCAATATTAAAGCTAGCGTGCAGTGACACCCACTTCATTGAAGTAGTAACATTTTTGATATCTGCTATGTGTATCTTGCTTCCTTTCTTCTTGACCTTGGCCTCTTATATTTTCATTATTTCTACGATCATGAGAATGTCATCTGCCAGTGGGAGGAAAAAAGCTTTCTCAACCTGCTCCTCACATCTCATGGTGGTGTCCATTTTCTATAGCACATTAATGATTGTCTACATTTTGCCCAAAACAGATGGACTGCGAAACATCAACAAAGTCTTGTCTCTGTTTTATACAGTCCTCACTCCTTTGTTCAATCCTCTGATATACAGCCTAAGAAATAGAGAGGTAAAAGAAGCCCTTAGAAAAGCAGTTGCTAAATTGTGTGCAACTGAAAGAATACATCACTTTAATCTAGTATGAACTTTTTTTTTGGATGCTTGTGTTATTCCCCAGTAAGCCCAGGATTTTGGGTTCTTTGAGGACACCATCACATTTATGGATTTCTCTAAAACTGTATATTAGAGATTAGGGTCATTAAAGAATTCTGCCATGAACTTGTTCTCCTCACCTGAGAAAGTGTGTTAGTGTTCATTCTACTCTGAGAAATAGAGATCCAAATGGGTTGTATTATTTCTTGTTAAATATATGAGGTAGCTTGAAAAATTTTTCAAACTTTAACCTTTAAGTAATCCAGCACATTTAGAAGAAAAGAAGAATTTTACAGAAAGGCTTTCTTTCCTCCTACAGAACTTCCTGGATTAACCACATGATTATCTTAGGAAATGTGTTTATGGCTATATCAAAGCACAGGATGTCTTTAATGGGAGAGGTGGAGGCAGAGGTAGAATTGCTGCTGACTCTCCCAATGCTGAGCTATGACCCCTTCCCACTTAAACATCTGGCCTTTACAGGGAAGAGTTTGCAAGAAGCAATATGAAATTTCATGCCAATCTGAAAGTTCTTGCTTCTCTTGGAGCGACTGATCATGACCAGCTGAGGCTCTTCTTTATAAAGCCCTCCATAGTTGGTAATTTTTCACTTGGAAATATTAAATGCATTACTTCATGTTTTGGTCTGATGGTATTATATTTCAAAAATACATAACTATTTATATGTATAACTATAGGTGTCACCCTGTGATAGGTGCTAGTATGTGTAATCACAATTACACAATATTGGCTGTACGGTATTAAAAGTAATGATAACATATTTAATAGCAACATCATTATTTTAATTCACAGAGGCATTCAGGTTTTGTCTCCAGTGCTCCTAAATAAGTGAGAGAAGCAAATCTTCAAATTCTTGTTTTCGCCATTACCCAACCAATTGCCCCTGTAGTTGTTGTCAGACTATGAATGCTGTTTCTCAGACTGATGTCTCCAACTGTTTGGAGGTAACAGTTATCGGAATTCCAAACCAGCATGGTCCTTGGAAATGCTTTAACAGGAGTCTTGTTGAATTCAAACTCTCCAGCACTAGATGACAATGCTTAACATTTGCATGATTGACTATAATAGTTGAGAGTGATAGAACCTCAGGTTTAAAAGATATAGAAGAATTCATATTCTCTATGGTTGAGATATAGTTTAGCTATGCATATGGAAGGATATTCAGAAAGTGATCCCCTAAACCCAAATTAAAAATAGCTTAGCTAAATATCAGATGGACCAGACTTGCGCCACATTTTGAGATAGGTAACTTTTCTCCCTGATTCTAATAAGAATGCTGGATTTAAATCCAATCCACTCACACATTCCAGTCCTTCTTTTGGTAATGCTAGTTGGGGGATTTGGGCTATTCCATTCCCAACAAATCTAAAAAGTTCCACGTTGGGGAAGAGTGACCTAGAGGAAGACACTAGATTGTCTTCTGAATCTGTGTATTCCATTGCTACCTGCTGTTAGTACAAAAAAGTTTGACAAGTTTTCTGCCTTTGGCGCACACCAAAATAAAAGCAATGTGGAATTTGAAATGTTTATTTTTGAGTGGTTCATGGCCAGTTAAGCACTGTCTTGCTAGGTTGAATGGCTTTCACAGGTTCCATGTGAGTCATGGGAAATGTGTTGAGAATTGTAGGAAAGAAGTGGACAAAGAAGAAAATGGATAAGATCAAAATAGTTGAGGGGAGGAGGGGAGGTGTCCAGATTGAAAACCATACTTTTCTTCCAACCACACATTTTCTTTCATGAATTGTTTCCTGGAAATAATGTGCAGTCAGGATTCGGATTAATTACTGAGCTAGATTTAGAGACAATGATTAGAAAAGACTTTTTGGTACTATTCAGACTTTGGCACTGACGGTGATAGAAGCCCCAAAGCTGCTCTTTGAAGAGAAGCTGACTTTAAAAGTAAGTTCATTTTCTTCCCTCTCATTTAGAATGGGAAGTAATATGTGATATACTTTCACAGAATAATTTTACACCTGCTTGCTTCTTCCATCTTCATCCAACTAGCATGACGTCAATAAAATGTGGCAGCACTGAGTGTTCCTGTTCATGGTTCCAGCCAGCCATGACTCATCTCGGAATGCTCCAAGCCATTTCAGCCCTGCCACAATAAAGCAACACAATTAGGTGCCCATTGCTCGGATTTTTAAATTGTTTGTGGTTTGTTTTTAATGCTGCTAAATGTGGGTTTTAAATAGGGGGAAAAAGAAATGAATCTTGTTTGATGGAGCTGTTTCAGATATATAAAACTGGCTTTTGGAAGGGTGAGATAGGCAAGGAAGAAGACATCCGTGTGGAGAGTGTGTGTCTTCTGCATTGCTTCGCAAGACTTACATGAGTGAGAAGAAAGTCCTGACCAGCACCTGTGCTGCTATGAAGATCTTGAGAAGGTTCTGTGGGGATGCTTATAGGTAGCTGTGCCTGTTTCTTTTCTCACAACCACCATGACATTTTTTATTACTGATGCTGCTGCACCTGTAGTACATTAGGAAGGCCTAAGGCAAGATTGTCCCCTGCAAAGGGAAAATCCCCAATCCATGGTGCTTTTAAAAACTATGTTTGAATTTTGCCAGTTGTTGACAAATTTAGGAGCTATAAACATGACAGAGAATGAGCATATCTGTTTGTCAATTTGTATGCTTGTTGAACAAAGGATTGCAATGGGATTTCACTGAATAAATGAAGCCCCATCATTTTTATTTGTTTTATTATGTGCAAAGAGAAAGAGAGGAACTCAAAGCATGCACTTTTAGGTACTAAGTGCATTTGGACATACTTACAATATATGTTCCACTCTTAAATTACTAATATTTCAACCAATTTACTTAAGAGTAGGCAGAAAGTATCATAAAAAGTAGTGTCCTCAGCCTACATTACTCAGTAGTGTGAAGCACCAAATTTTAATCATGCTGATATATAAAGCTCATAGTTAAGTAGAAGAGTTTTCCAATAAGATTCTCCCCAGTGGGATTTTCATTTGTGGAGTATGATTATAGTAGCTGCGCAGGTGAGAACTGGGCAAATCATAGAAGATAAAGGCCTTGCATAAAGCCATTGAAACCTGTTCACTACCACTGCAGTCATGCTTTTGCAGCTTAAGAGAGGGAGGCAGGAGGGTCACATAGTCTCATGTGATCTGCAAATATATTTGCACAAACACACCAGGATTCAGAGAAGTAGGGAACAAGTTCCTCACAGTCAAGGGAGGGGTTATCTCTCAGCTCATCATTTTCCATGCTAGTTGAGGCCTTCACTGTAACAAGGTATGTAGCCTAAAGAAGCCAAGACTTTTCCATCCTTGATCTAAATCTTGGTTGTATACATTAAGGCAGATTTAGAAACCCTTACTTATGCAGAACCCCAAATAGATCAAATTTCAGCAGATTAATCTCCTCCCTATTCAAAAATAGAAATGTCCTGATTTCATCCCAGTCCTCTAATTAGGATCACAGATCTCTCGTACATTCTTACAGGAATCTTCCCCATTCTGATGCTTTGCTGATATTTTGGGAGGAAAACTCCCAGAAATATCCAGCTTCCATGGCCAATAGCTACACTATCTGGGTTACTTTACAAATTGCAGTTCCTAAACATCTGGAGAGTTGGGTGCCCTAGAGCTAAACAAATGCATAAGGTGTGGCTACATACAGTAATATCCTGAATTTGTGTACTTCAGGGCTACCTCCTATTAATAGGGAAATTCTGCCAAGGTTTCGAACTCTGGCATAAAGTAAAGCAAAATTAATTTTTAAATGTTTATTTTGTAGTGGTTTGTGTCCAGTATAGAAATGGAGAAGAAATGTCTCCCTTCTTCTAAGCAAGGAGCTGAGTCATACACACACACACACACACACACACACATATATACACACACACATACACATACACATAC